TTCCTGTTTTGTGTCTTCTTCCGATTGTTGCAACTTAGGCTAATGTTACAATGGATTTAACTAGGAGTTGAATTTACGTTTAATTCGAATTTGAATTTGAGTTTGAGTTTGAATTTGAGCGCTTAATGCGCTTATCGTAATGCAATAGATGCGTGTATATGTGGTTGTTTATGCATGTATAATAAATAGCTAGTTTCGAGTTTAGTCAAATATTAATGGCTATGGCAAACAATATATGTATGTATATGTGTACGGACACAAGGAGATGACGGATAGCCGGGGGAGTTGCCTCCTATTACCAGTCCGGCCATCAGCTGTCTGAGCCGTAATTTGGGGTCCCTGTAATTGGCCCGATGCACACTGCACACTGTACACTGAGCACTGAGCACTGAGCACAGAGCACACTGCACATCCATTATCCATGATCCATTTCGGAAAATTACACTCGGACAGCTGTCCGGCCGATGGCTTCGATGGCATCTGCCCAGTTCGTACCGATTCGAGTCATCAATTTTTCAAACTAACTCGGTTACACACACCGCCAATGCATACTTGAATACGTGTATACTTTCTAATACCTTAAGGGGCCGTCCTTCCGTTGGCCTTCTCTTAATCCAACTTAATCGCTAATTCGATACATTTGCTAGGATTGAATTCGATTCGGTTAAATGCTTGCTTTTTTTCGTTTTGTTTTGTTTTGTCTTTGGGGCTAGATAAATACACTTTTAGAAAGAGCTATTGATATGAGTGGTACGTATTAGTAAGTATAAAATAAGAAATGTTCGATATATATATGTATGGTACAGGAGAGAGTCCGTTCTCACGCAAAAACATAAATGAGTGATGACTTTCGTCCCCTCTTGGCATTGATTGTTTAATTAATTTCATTACATCCACATATGGGGCTCTTACGGTCTAGAAAAGTCGCCAGGTGTCTAAGACGCATTACATAATGATAACTGTTACGATCGCCTTCTAAGGTCTAGGGTTTTATCGATTCCTCGATAGTAAGTAATGTATCTAAGCAGCTCTCTAGGACCTGCACTTAGCCTAGTTCTTAAGTAATCAAAGTTCGCTTAGAGTCTAAAAGAAAGAAAACGAATGCGCCGCTATTGTATGTAAGTAATTCGGTTAGACGCAGCTTAGACAGACACAAAAATATATAAATATATATATATAATATATAAAATATATATATGTATATATACGATATATAGTAACATATGGCATAAGTAAGTACATGGCTAATTGTAAGTAGAAGTACACGTAATCGTAGGCCTAGCTAGGCCTAGGCTTTAAAGGCTATTCGAGCCATCGCCGCTTAATATATTCTTTTGGACATTGAGACGGAATGAGAGTCATATATAAATGTATATGTAGGTGTATAGTCGTTTAGTGTGTGTTGTGGTTGTGTTTCAAATGTGTGCCGGCTTTTAGTTAGTACTATTATTATTATTCAATAGTAAAATTCAAGGCCTGAGCCTTTGAAATCTTTAGTAAATTTAAAGACTTTGGTTTAGTCAGAATTTCTTTGATAACATATTAATTTTTCATTGCTTTTTTGTGAAAATCAATAAACCGACAATAATATATAGCTTTTTATAAAATATATATTTTGTCTTTTGATTAATAAATCAGGCAAACTTTGCGAAATTTTCTAGGATTAACTTTGTTACTCTTGCGCTGATTAATTTGTTTGACTGATGCATTTTTAATTAATTGCCCGAATAAAATCGCTTAAAATACATTTTCCTATCATTAAGAGTGGGAAAATTTATACTGAGCAAACATTTTTTAATCAAACAATATATAATTATAGATATTTTTTTGTGAGCCTTGCAGATGGCAAATTTGCAGATTAAGCAATTTAAATTCATTAAGCTAAATAAATTGCTGATTAATTTAAACAAATTGTATGTGCTTTTTTAATATTTTCAGACTAAACCAAAAAACTTTAAATCAAAAGCAATTGAGCTTTGAATTTTTATTTGCGAATATCTTTGAATTTGAATTTGGAAACCATCTTGAATCCTAACGAATATCTTGCGATATTGAAATCGAATTTTAGGCTTTAGCCTTAAGGACCTCTCACTGCGGCCTATTCGGTCAGATTCCAGGCAACTGGTAAAGCGAGGCTGCCGCAGCTGCCGCAGAATTGGCGCCCGCTCCCGCCATTTCCAGGCCGCCCGGCATGGCCAGAAGTTCGCTGAGCGGATAATGGGCAGCGGCCAAGGCGGCATTTTGCCGGAGCTGTACCTGCTGCAATTGGGCAGCCGCGGCGGCAGCAGCAGCCGGAGCTGCAGCTTGCAGGGCACCCAATGCGGAGGCGGGAGTCCTTAGACCACTGCTTACTGCTGCCGCTGCCAGGAGTCGCTTGTAGCCAACGACGGCGGCGGCATCGGCATACAGGGAATTGGCCAAGGCGGCGTTGCTCTGACCAGGCAAAGCATTGGCAGCTGCAGCGTACTGCAACAGAGAGGGCGTGGCCGAGGCGGGTGAGGGACTGGCCAGCGGGAGCAGCCCCGGAGCACCTGCAGCAGCGGCCACCACCTGGGCGAGGCTATGCTGCTGCTGCTGCTGTTGATGCTGCTGTGCAGCAACTGCTTGGTGTTGCTGCTGGACGGCAGCTGCTTGGTGTTGCTGCTGTTGGTGTTGCTGCTGCTGCTGCTGGGCGGCAACCATGGCTGCCGCCGAAAGGTGAGCGGGCAGGGGATAAGGGGTGTACCTTAGCGAGCTCAGCAGCTGATGGTGGGTGTGTGTTGTGTGTGCCGACTGTGTGTGCGTGTGTATTTGCTGGTGGTGCTGATGTTGTTGCTGTTGTTGCTGCTGCTGCTGCTGTTGGTGCTGCTGCTGCTGCTGGTGCTGCTGCAGCACGGAGGCGGCAGCCGCTAAACTACTCGGCAGCAAGCCTGCGGCTGCGGCAGCGGCGGACGTGGCCGCCGTGGAATGGGCGTGGCTGCTGCCCCAGACTACCAACTCACCGTATGCGGAGCGCCCGGCAGCCCGTGTCTTGGCCAGGTTGGCCGGCAGCATTACCTCCTTCGGCTGCGCCTTCTTGCACTCGACCTGCGGAATGAAAGATAATCATAAATGAGTTTTAAGTGATCTTGATACCTTTTGAACTAATTATTTTGTTGTAAATTATATAAAGAACGAGCATTAGTTACTTATAAAACATTGTAAAATATTCTTTCTTTTAAAATGTAAGTAAAAATGAACAGAACATCATTTAAACGGGAAATTTAGAAGAAAATTCCTGCAGATTTAAATTAAATTAAACAGGAAACACAGCAAAACAACAATAAACTTATTTAATTTATTTATTCAGTACACAAATAATAATAAATAAATAAAGTGAACGGCGATCTCTGCTCAAGGTGCTTTCGTCCTTGTGTAAATATATTATTTCACCAAGATATCTGATATTTTTCTTTGCCATAATAAAATCATAAATTGATGGGCAATTCGGGGGAAATATTTTTGCTGTGTATGGCAAAAGAAAAAGGAAAAGAACTTAAAGATGAAGGGGAAGTTAAGCCTCCTGGGCTGCGATTCAGACCGCCACGCTTCACTTACCATTTTGTTGTTTATCTCGTGGAAATGAATTTCGCAAACTTTGTCTACCACATCTTCGCTTTGAAATGTAACGAAGCCAAAACCTGCAAAATAAGAGCGGAGAAGCGAGGATGAGTGAGAGTGGGGCGAGTGGGGTAGAAAAAGTTTAAGGGCTGCAAAAATTGAACGAAATATGCTTTTGTGTGAGCGAGCGGCTAAATAATTTACTCAAGTGTCGAGACCGAGGCAGAGGCGGCGCCCTCACCCCTTTGCAGGACATCCAGGACACCGCCCCACCCATTCCCTTTCAGAGTCAGAGCCAGGCCGGGCCAGGATAGCTGTCCTCCGGCTGACCTCAATATGCATCCCCTGCAGGGCCTCAAGTGGCGGCTGGGCGAGTAATTCAAACACTGGCCGCTCCGAGTTTACATAATAAACTTTGCCTGCTCGGCTCCCTTCTTGAAGCTTCCCCAGTCCTGTCCCCCATCTTGACCCGCCCCTTGGCCGCCTTGGGATCGGGCATAATAACTTTGTCCTAATGGCGCTGGCCAGCTCTAGAGCAGCGTGGCCACTCTCTGGATATCCTCCAATTGGTGGCTGACGAAGAACTCAAATTCCCGGAATGTCAAGTCATTTCGGGGGGTTTTTTATGCCCGGAATTGGGAAAGGATTTATTATGGCTTAATTAAATTCTTTAATTTGTTGCCGTTGCAATTTGTGCAAAGTAAAAGTTATAGTTACTGGATTTTTCCCTTTTTTAGTGGAAGAGAAAGGTTTAATAGTTGGGGATTTCATGATAGTGCTTTGGTTTAGTTTTTACTTTCTAGTTTTCATTTAAAGAAAGTGATTATTGTTTTATGAATACGTTTATGTATTCATTTGAAGGTTTTTTCAGGAAAGATTAAAGTTGACATAAAAGAAAAGGTTTTGTGTTCATAATCAGTGAATGTTAATATATTTTAATGACATATTATAATATAAATTTCTTTCTTTTATCAGAAACATTACACTTAGAAAGGTTTTCATAATTATTTCATTATTTTATTATATTTCTTTATTTTTACTTGAATTATCTTTTAAAGTCACTGGGAACTCTTTTTGTAATGAGAAACCTATATCATATCTTTAAGGAAATCATTATATTAATTTCTTTAATTGGGAAGTAACTTAATTAACTATTTTTTGTATTATTTCTTCCATTAAGTAGCTTCATTAGGAGTAGCCAAAAGTAGAACGCAACTTTCCATCAGATTGGGGAACCATAGGAAATTCCATTTGAGGCTTTCTATCTCCACTATCCTCTATCCGCTTAGTGCTCCTCAATGTTGCTCCGATTTCCCTCCCTCCTTCCCCTCCGATTTCGGCACTTTGGCCTTATCGGGGCTTTTCAATTAGCGCAATTGTCTGAGATTTCACATGGTCGAAAAGAAGGGCTCTCGCTCTCTCTCTCTCTCTCTCTCTCTCTCTCTCTCTCTCTATCTCTGTCTCGCTGTGCAATTAGCAAGGCCAAGTGCAGACACCTGATGCCCCGGCGCCCGCATTTTGTTTGTGTTTGTGTATATATGTATGTATATCCTGTACGTGTGTTTGCCTGGCCATGCGGGCCTTAGAGCGGGACCCTTGGAGGGGGCGTTTCACTGGGAGCTGTGGGCGTGGGCGTGGCCAAGCTGGGGGTAACTGACAAATTAGTTGAAACAAGTAACAGTAAACACGCAGGCTTATTAGCGACATGTGCCGAGCAGCAGAAGCTCTGAGCTCCAAAGCGGAGAGCTCCTTTTCCTTGAGACAACGTGCGGGCGAACAGGTCTTCCTGGAGTGTGTTTGTATTTGTTTTAATTATATAAAATTAGCGCACGTTGCAGGTTGCACGTAAAGCTGCACATGAAGAAATAAGTAGCTAAACGGATCACATTGCTAAGAAGTTGTGTTAACTCCTTCTGGGATTACTTTGCTTACAGAAATTTGAGGTTGTAAGCTATAGTTTTAGGAACTCTATTTAAATCATGTCTAAATATAATACATTTTCCATTAAAATACATATATTCCTTAGAATTAAATTAACTAGTTAAGTTTCTACTTGCTTTCCTTGGAATTCCCTAATATGCACTTTAGTTAATTAACCACAATTTTTGATTTACTTTTTCTAGTGTAGCCCCTGGGCTTCTTCAGGGTTTTTGTCTATTCCGCTGCAACTTCATAAATCAGCAGCCTTGGAACAAATGAAGCCAGCAATTTTCGGTACCTGCTCCGCGCTCCACACGTAACTCAATCAAAAATGTATCTGCTGGATACAAATGCGCCCGGCCAGCATGAGGAATGAGCCACGGCCAGGGCTCGTTGGCCAGTTAATTCCGCGGCCTGAAGCTTCAAGCTTTCAGCTCTCAGGTGAGTCTGATTGTGAGTTCTGTTCTGTTGAGCCCGCGCCCGGCTGCCATTTTTACCTGTCGAAAATTTCCCGCAGGACGGCGCGCGGCGCTGGAGCGATAGGAGCTGACGATGGTCTTGGCAACTGCAAAAATTGCACACTCATGCATGTTATTGCCAAGAAGCGGACACAGATATATGCTCCTGGGGGGAGGAGTAGGGGGAGTAGCACCAGCACCAGCACCAGCAGCTGCTGCTGTTATGACTGCGCTGCGCCGGCTTGCCAAAAAGAAAAATTACAAAATTTTCAATTTTAATATTAGTGGCGGCTGGCGACGCCAACTGCCAAGCCGGGGCCCCGAAAGCTGCCCCAAAACTCGTTCGCCGCGCTCCTAAGCCACCCGGAAAAATACCCACCGAAAACTACAACCAACCGTACCAAAGCCAGGACGCCCACAAGCTGGCTGCTTAGGCGCACGTTGGGCATGTCCTTGGCTTGCCAAATGAAATTCATAGCATAGTTTTGGGCGCAGCTCGGCTGTTGTGAACTCTATATTTGTACAGGACATATTGCTTAGAGGCGGCGGCAGGCAACTTGAATAAATACTTTTCACAGACTTTAGCTTCAGCTTTAACTTCTGGCCAGGAGCTCATAAGTTTTTGATATATATATTTATAAGGAGAATTTTGTAGCTGAAAGTAAGAAATATATAAATCTAGCTTTTAGTACAGTTTATGCATTTTTCCAGCCCTTTTCTTCAACTAATTTCATTTTATATTATTTTGTTGTACTATTTCCTGGAGTTTACTACTCCAAATTGATTTTCTGCCTAAATAGAATTCCCTTTAGCGCATCTTCACTGTAATTGCAATTGCCCTCGGCCGCGTGGTTGTCATCCCCGCAGTTGTTATTGCTGTTGGTGCCTGGGCCTGCCTATATTGTTTTATGGCATATTCATATATCGTTTCCTATATCTTGTTTTATTTTTTTTTTGTTCCTTCTGCCCATCTGCCCTTCTGCCCTTATCCCATATCCCATATCCACCCGTATGTCGTGTGTTCCGTGTGCCGTATCCAGTATATGAAACGCTTGTAGAGTTCTGGCTTATGGGGCCCCCTCTCACTAGATTCTGGGCCAACTGCCATTGCTGTTGTTAGCTGGAAAGAGGCGCTGCAATTTTCAGTGACCAGGCTACTCGTACTCGTATTCGTATATGAGTTGCTTCGCTGGCTGTCTGTCTATTTGTCCATCTGTCTATATGTCGCTGTGCTGCACACATGATTTATGAATGAGTAACAAACTTGCTGCCGTGTAGCCGAGCAACCAACGACGTCTTTTCCACTTTTCTTTACATTTTCCATCGTTTTTTTGCCCCCTCTTTAGTATAGTTGGTATGTGTGTGTGAGTGTACGTGGCAATTGCCACACACAGATATATATACATATATATATGTATATATAGGGAGCTGCCGGATCGGATCGATAAAATGCAATTACAGGCATATCGCAAGTGCCAGTAGGCAACGGACTCCGACTCCTCATGGCAATAAGGTCGTACATCGTACATCGTACATCGTCCGACTGTACAAAAAGTCGCCAGCGTTGTCCTCGTCCTCACACAGGACTCTTGCCCGTCCTTCTCCTCCTCCTCCTCCTCCTCCGAGGGGGCTCCTGCTACAACTAATACCCTTTGATTAACGACACACATTTTCTATTGACTTGCCCGCTGGTCGCTGTGAAGTTGGGCAGTTGGCTGCTCGCAGAAACGAGAAAGCACCTGCATATTTCATCGCCCGATCGATGCACGCAATTGTAATTTGCGATTTGCAATTTGCAAGGCTGACATGTCCTGGCCAAAATGAATTGCGCCCCGGCCAATGAGTCGTGTCAATAGCTAAACTATCCCACTCAACTCTGGCTGGTCAATGCATTTTTAATTGCAAAATTGGCAAATCACGGCAGGGCCAAGTAGTAGCTCTGACCAGGTAATTGCTATAGGATATGCCTGGAAATTGTTTTGAGGTCGGCTCATTATTGTGACTTGGCCTAAATCTTTAATATGATGGGTCAAGACGGACAAGGAACCTTTCTGATACTTGAATGTTTGAAGTAAATTTCATTTAATTGAAGGCAAATCCTACTTGCAACATTAGTTAAGTTTCTGTCTGCTCTACCAAATGCATTTTTAATTGAAAACCCTGAAAAGTTGTGCAGGAAATTCATTAAAAATGTGTGTGTGTACTGTATATTATTTATTTTACTCATTATTCCTACTGGGTCCCCGGATGACTAAATCTTTGATGTGATGGCTTGGCGTCCTTCACATTATTTTTAAAATGCCTCATATTGTTTTTATTGGCTGCTGCCCGTTGCCTCCCCCGCTTTCAAGCTTTCCTCCCTTTTTTTTGTATTTTTTATATACTATATGTATGTATGACTGCATCATCATGCAGTTTCAGCGTACTCCAGCGTCCAATTAAGCGAAATGTTCTGTGGGCCCACGGCTCTATCTCTGCAGCCCGCTTTTTTCCCTTTCCTTGCCGCTTTTTGCGCTTATCTGCGATGCTGCGCACAGAAGTATGCTACAATTTTTATGGGCCGCGCACAAGCAAAAATCATGTTTTCTTATTCCCGTGTGCGTAATTTGAAGGGCGCAAAAGTTAACAATGTCCGGTGGATAGGGGGGCGGGGGATGGGGTATATACCAGAGAACTGCAACAAGCCACCGCACCTATAAGTGCACCCGCAAAACACTCGGTATCTGAGACACCCGGGTGTTTATGGTACCCTTTATACGGTGGTAAAAAACACCCGGGTGTATTTGGCACCCGGGTGTCTTTTGGCACTCCCTAAAAGGGTGCGAGTGAGTGTTGTGGCACAACGTTTCGAGTCACCCGACACACAAGGCAAGATCGGTCGCAGGTCATTTTTTGTATGCCTATTTTTAGCATGGGTGTGAGCAAGACGGTCTAAGAAAAAATAGGGTGAAAAGAAACACCCAAAAATAGGTCGTGTGCGTGTTTTTGATTTTGCCTGTTTGACAAATCCGAGTTCGAGTAAAGATACATATTTGCAATTTATAACTGTACTCCTTCAAGAATTGTCTGAGTCCGATCGCTAACAAGAGTTCGAGACAAAAACGCAAGGCGATGACGTCATAAACACCTAGGTGTCTACGAGACACCCGGGTGACATATGTGTGTTTTTTCCACAACCCTTTTTTGCCTGGGTGTTTTTGTTACTGCCTAAAGAGTGGGAGTGAGTGCTGCGGCACAACAAGCGACGATCGGTCGCAGGTCATTTTTTGTATGCATGCATTTATTATGGGTACGAGCAATATGGTCTAAGAAAAGAACGGTGAAAAGAATCACCCAAAAAAAGGTCGTGTGCGTGTTTTTGTTCTTGCCTGTTTGACGAATCCGAGTTCGATTAAAGATACATATTTGCAATTAAAACTATACATTTTCAAAGTCCTAATTTAAATAATAATTACGAAGTATATCGTAAATATTATATATTAAAAGAGACTTACTTTTTGTAGCAATATTTTACTTTATGTAAACAATAGCTAAATTGATTATTAACAAATATTTTAAAATCATTATCCCTTTTTGGATTTTTTATGTTTTTTGCTTTAAGTATTTTTTGCGATTAAAAAGTATTTATATATTTATTTAATATACCATAGCAATATAAATAAATCAGCCGTTTCTGACCTCTTTCTGAGACATCAGGAATGGTCTGAATCCGATCGCTAACAAGAGTTCGAGACAAAAACACACAGGCAATGACGTCACAAACACCTAAGTGTCTACGAGACACCCGGGTGATATCTGTGTGTTTTTGCCACAACCCTTTCTTTGCCTGGGTGTTTTTACCACCGCATGCCTGCTCTACCCGTTCGTTTTGGGTGCGAGTGTGATCGGCACCCGCCGAAGAAAAACACCGCATTGATCGGGTGTCTATGTGCCGGGTGTTTGCAAACACCCATAAGATTTTGTGTGGGTGTTTGCATGTTGCTGTAGTTGCCGGTGGTGAGTGGCACCGGCACCCGAAATTTGTTGAGTGTGAGTCGGGTGTCAAAAAATGCCACCCTTGCAGTTCTCTGGTATATACAACATGTTTGGGGTTGTGGGGGGGGGTGTGTTTGCCAAGTGGCGGAATGATTGCACACCCGCAAAACCAGCAACAACTATTGATGCATGCTGGGGCCCCCGGTTTGTGTCCATGTGAGCTAATTACTTTTGAGCTGCGGTTCGGCTGTGTTGCCTTTGGTTTGTGCAAAATTGGGCACATCAATCTTAATGCGCCGTGTCTCAGGTTGTTCCCCAATCTGACCTCCATGACTGTGGGTTGGCACCCGGGGTCACAATGCGAAATTTGGGGCGTCATTTAAAACTTTAATAAGCAAAATTGACAACGACAAGGCATTGGACTGTTCAGCAGAACACAAAAAGGACACGCACCACTGGACGGAAAATTGGGTTACTGGGAAAGTTATATGGTTTTTGAAGAGATCTATTCAAGTTACTTATGATTTTTATGCCAAATGGAGCCGGTTTTCCAAAGAAATTTGTATTTTTAAATACTACTGATGAAAAAGGGAGCCTTTGAGGCTTTCCCTTGGAAATTGTATACTTTGTATAATGATTTCAAGGGGAATTCATATTAAACTTTTAGTTAAAATGCCATTTAAAGAGGTTTTCAGTTAAAAAAGCTTAAGATTCCTTTTTCCTTGAAGTTTATAAAAATAAATGTTTATTTTACTTTGCTCTTCAAATATATTATGCGGTAAGTATTTATCAAATGTTCGTTTGAATTAAGCTAGCTTATCATGGATTTTAAAATGTAAGCATCTTAGAATAGGTCAAGGGATTCATTAAATGGAATATACTTAAGTCAAACAAATTGCAACATTATTAAGTTTAGTAAGTTTCCTATTATTATATTACATCTATGGTATTTTCTCCTTATCCATACTTTTTGAACAGTGCATTGAAAGCCGGACATCCCGACAGGGTACTTGGACGGTTGGACGGACAGCTGGACAAACGCAATGGACGCAGTCGTGCGCTACAAGTTCGTGTAGCGGATGTACACTGGAGATTTAAGCCTTCTGCCGGCCAACCAGCGCACCTCAGCTGCTGACCTCGCTGGCCTGCAGCATCCACCTAACCACCCAATCCTACCCTGGAGCAGCGTCCACCCACAGCACCTGAACCAGCCACCAGCCAGCAGCCACCAGGCAAAAGCCACTCCACTCCTGTGTGAACCCCATGAACCACCCACTGGAACAGCCATCCGGCAACGTAAGAGGATGGCCGTCTCTTATGGCCCTTATATCCGGTTGCATTGGCAGGTAATCTTTTCGGGTCCCTCTACTTCCTACTTCCTGTTGCCCGGCCATTTTAATGCCCCGACAAGGTTTTAAAACTGTATTAGCCCTTTGCTTATGAGCATCCTGCCATGCATGATACATTGACATTCGTTTATGTGTGTGTTTGAGAGTGTACATATATGCATTGCTAAGCTCTCGCACTTCCGGCTCCAGCTCGTTAAAGTCCGGAAACGGGGCTAGCAAATGTTTTGTGGCATTTATGGTGATGATTTTCATAGATAGCGATGCCGATAACGATAACGATTGCGAAAGTGAGAGTGATGGCAATAACTCACCTCTGTGCCGATTGGTCTGCTTATCGAACATCAACATGGCGTCCTCGATCTGGAATTAATCAAGTGGAAAAATAAATTGGTTAGTAATTAGCTAAGGAAAGTGAGCTTAGATATATATTTAGGAAGTTATTTATATTTGCCCTTAAAATTGACTTAAAATTGAATATTGTTAAAACTTTTTACGGCGTAAGAAATGGTTCCAATTAATATTTTTATTATTCAAAGAATATTTTCCAAGGCAAATAGAAAGCTTTTCTTTGTTTGTTTATAAATTCCCATCTTTTCTGGTACAAAAATCGATATGTCTCATCTATTTTCTTCACCAATAAGTAAGAACCCCCATAGCTATCGATAGAATAATATATTTGACTCTTTTTCCCGTTGCGTAAAAAGTGGCAATTTTTCATTTGCCAACTCATTTTCCGCGACTTGGCTGCACTCCTTCGTTTGCAGTTCCTGGGTCCTTTGCTCCTTTTGTTGCAGTCGGTGCATAAGCACTCGAAGTTTGCCTCCTCGGTGCGAGCAACTCAATTAATGGCCTGAATAAATGTTCGCAGCAGACAAAACTGCTGCTAATTGCAAAGTGAGTGCGCACAATGGCCGGCACACACACATACACATTTACCCCCTACTGGCCACCCACCAGCTGCCTGCCCCCCAACCCCCAAGCAGAGCAAAACTTTTAGCCATTATGGCGCAAAAGAACTTATAATGATAGTTGACTGTCAAACCAGCGCACTAACTAACTAACTAACTGCGCCCGCTGACTTTCCACTGGCTGGCTGACTGGCTCATTACAGGCCCGCTAACTGGACATTCGGGAATGATGAACTGCTGGCCAACTGACTGACTGACTGACTGCCAGAATGACTGAATGACTGAATGACTGACTGACCAACCCGCCAACTGGTTGTCATTTGATATTTTAATTGACGCGACGAATGAATGCAGCAAATGTGCTGCTAAATTGGCCATCACAATCAGATTGGGGCTCAATTGCATTGGCCAGAATGTGAATTGTGTGTGTGCAGTTGTTGAATTGAGGCATTAATGATAAATATCAAAATAAATGTGCATTTTCGATAATAACTTTTGCTATTTAATTAGGAAGCTTATTATTATAATTGTGGAGACAAAAATAAGGGGGAGAAACAGGGTTCCCTTTACGTGGTTTTGTCAGGAATAATTGTTAAAACTCAATAGCAAACCACTTAAATACTTGGCATAACTTGAAAAACTAAAATTAAGCAGAAAGTAATTTTTTTTTTGTTATTTCCCTATCCAAGTTTACCTTTAATTAATAATCAATTGATTACAAAGTCAATTTTATAAGGACTCAAACTGCCAATTAGCCAATCAATATATCAATTTCAATGGTTTAATCTTGACTGATTTGATTTTTGTCCTGACGATTTTAGGAATGATTTCTATAATCGAAAACTTTAATGATAATTTTCAAGTTATTTCTACTTGACGTTCTACAAAATCCTTTCATATAGCCTGGCACACGATTTTCTTAAGGTCCTTGAGCTTCTTGCCTGCCTGCCTTCCTGCCTTCCTGCCATTCAATATTATAATGTGACAACTTTGCCTTTATCCTGCTCCTGCGCTGCTAATTGCACATTTCTTGTCAAAGTTGCGATGCGGCCTTTAATGAGCTGCAAGCTGACCCCGAATCCTTGTCGTTTCTCCTTACAATCCCGCTCCTGCTCCTACTCCTGCTCCTGCTCGACTTCCTGCTTATGGGCCATTGATTAAACTTAATCAATGCGCTTAAGGCAACTCGCAACTCCTGTGCACTGTAATTAAAATGCAGCCACGATGCCAGGAAAGGCGGCCTTATAAAAATTAATTAAGCTTGCGCCGCACTTTTCCGCCCAACGCCCATAGTAACCTCCCCTCTTACCGCTGATTCGGTAGTTTACAGAGGGGAAAAAAAGTAAGAAATCTTTGAAATAAAATAATCGGATTTTCATCATGGTTAAATAAAACATATTTATATACCTCTTAAGATAAAAAACAGGTTTTAATAGAGTTTAAAAAGTCATAAGGAACATTATTTGGGTTCTTTGCTAAATGTTCGATTTATATAATTGAAATGGTAATACCTATTTGAATTACATATTGTAGGTATTTACGGCAGTGGCAGGATAAATTTCCCTTTAAAAATATGCCAAACATGACTAGTAACGTACATGTTTACCTTTGCGTTAACTAAAAATCAATATATATCTATTTTAATCAAATCCGATCTGATTTAATTAAATTTTCTCCCCGTGCATGCTGTGTAGCTGTTGTTCGCGCCTCGCAATTCGCAGCTCTTCAAGTGCAGCCGCCGATGAAACCAACTACAACATTGTTTTTCAATTAACAATCAACAACAATGCCGCAACACAATACAAACGAACGGCGAAGGTTACACGCGCCAAATGACACAAAAATTGCCAGCTCAGGTGCTGGCTATAAAAGGGGGGTGAGTGGGTTAAGGAGGCCGCTTGGCCAAAAGGGGCGTGCCAGGCCAGGGTGGGCAGTACAATTGCAATTGTTGTTGTTAATTAAGCGGGCAAAACTGGAAAAGCGAACACTGCGAATCGAACTCGAATTGCGGCCTGTTGTTAATGTCCGCCTCCCTGGATAGCCACGCCCCCAGATGCCCCCCTCGATAGCTGTCATAATTACACTGGACCCTGGATCGTTGGCTGGCTCATTATGCCACCCATTTTACCGATTTCCCATTTCCACACCGCCTGATTTCCCATTCCCCTCCCCTTGCCGAGAGTCACCGCAAACTTTAATTCTATTAGCAAACGTTAAATGTACACCACGAAAATGGGATGGAGGTGGTATATTTCTATATATATATATTGGTACAGTTGTGGAAAGAATAATAGCATTAATGGGGAAGTTTATATCAAATATATCTTAGTATGTTTTATAATATTTTCACATAGTTATTCGAAGCTGAGATAAGTAGATGAGATGAGATGAGTAGATTAAAGATAGTTTGTTTTATTAAAGAATCTGTTTGTTTTTAAGTTACTTTTATTTTTAGGGGGTAAAAATTATATTTGTAATTAAATAAGAGGGGAAATTAAAATATTTTCAATAAACAATAAGCCTTATAAAAGTTCTATAAACTTAGAAAGGTACATTTTTCTACTGTATCTAAAGCTGAATATAGTTTACATATATTACAGTTTATATTACAAACAACTAGTCTGTTTATAAAATAATATTCCAATTCTATAATAACATTAACTCTCAATAAATTCCTACTTAAAACAACCTAGTAACTAAGCTTCTCTACCAGGAAAACCTCTCTTCCTTAACTTTAAAGCTTCTTAATTTAAGAGTCTGTGCGACTATAATAATGTAATTAATTATGAGAGCAAGAAGGAGTAAGGGGGATCCCCAAATATGCCATCATTTCGACCACAATTGTGTGTATGTGCGTGTGCCACTAACAAGCAGGCGCGCGTAATTTTATTTAAATCTGAATTCATTAATTCGTCATAATCCCCAATCATTGCGCCGCCTGCCAGCGGAGAGAACTTCAAAAAGCCATCAACGACAGACGTTGATGCTGCTGTACCGCCAGCATCTGAAACCCCCCTGAAAATACCACCCAAAATACCCCTCTCCATCCTCCATCCTCCCCCTGCCCGTTGGAGGAAGCTCCCAAAAGCCGGGCCATTCATTTGGCTCATTTTGTGTACAAAAATGCTGCGCTCAGTGGAAACGGCGACGCTTCATTATCGTAATCGTTATATAAAACAGCGGGCTGACTGCGAAATACAGACTACCGCCGACTACAGTGTCAGACAGCTGTGTATGTGCCAGTCTGTCTGTATGTATTTTATGCGTTTTGCGGCACATTATGTGCTTACAGTGAGTCCTAGACGAGGCGACTGCTGCTGACATTAATGAATGTGGCCGACAAAGGGTCCTGCGGGTGATTTTTATTTGAGTTCCCGCCTTCTTGCAGACTTAGGCAGTGGCCATCCGAAAAAATAAAATAAAATAAAAGCATCGATAAGCAGGCCAAAAGCGGATGAGGTTAAAGCCATATTTTCATGGCCAGCGGGAGAAGGGAGTTTTCCTGGAAACCAAAAAGCACGAGAGCTCTTGGCTATTTACTCGCCTTTAAAGTGAAAGTCAGAAGCTGTGAAATTTGATTTACTTAATGGATGGCACTTGGGCAATTCAATTTATATGAAACAAAAATGAAAATATTAAGAGAGAGCGCGGATTATTTTTTGGGGAACAAAGAAGAGTTGAAAGTGTCTTTAAAATTACAAAGAACAAAGAAGAGTTGAAAGTGTCTTTAAAATTATATTTAAGAACTTGTCAATAAAATGATTTCTGTAGCCAAATAAAAGTTAAACTACTCTTACTTTAAATAATAAATAAACCAAGGACAAACATGGAACTTTCAATGGAAACCCGTCCCAAGGACGACAGTCTAGTATAAATATGACAATATATATTTGTTCTATTATAGTTTTTTAAGCAAAACAAATAAACTAGTTTTTGACCAGCAATATTTATCCCCCATCCTTTCCAAGAAGTTAAGCCTTAAGTTCTGCGGTATGTGAACAATCGTGTTTGTTAGCGTTTCAATGGAACGCTTAGCTTTAGAGATTCCCGGAATGCACATTGTATGTATAGAGATATATAGAGATATATACATAGATGTATAGAGCCTTATATGAATGAAGGACAGATGGATGAAGCTCTGCCCGGCCACTCGTTAAATCGTCAGCAATTCCCAACCTTCTTCTTTTTTTTCAGCAGCAGCTTCTCCCTGGACTCTCCCCGGACGCTTGCAGGACTCGCTGTCCCCCCGGCGAACCGCTTTATCCTGCCCATCCACGCCTTTGGTTTTGTTTCAAAGTCCCCGAAGTTCTAACTGGATAATTTGCAGTAATTCATCTTGCTGGCGGTTTTCTCGATTCTCCCTCAGTCCGACTTTTTTGCGACTTTGGCTCCCTGGGCAGCCGCCCGTTTTGGTTTCCCGCTTTTGTATGCCTGCTTGATTGCGACAATTTA